GCAGGCATACGGACAAGCATACAGAGTTGACGCAATGAAACCGGTGCCAAAAATGGGCGAAAAACTCTTTAGGCACAGGGAGCTAGGGCGATAACTGGAGGAAGAAAAAGGTTAATAGAAGGCCATCCAATCATAGTTGAAGATGGAGAACTGCTGTGGCTGATAAAAGATAAAACCAAGAATTGAGACTTGAAGTGATAGAATGACGCTTAGCTCGAAAGTAGAGAGTGAACCAGGTTAAATAAGTAAATATTGTGGAAACTGTAAGAGTAAGCGCTTGAAGGGCGAAAAGTGCAGATGCAAAAGGGGACCAATAAGATAGATAGATAGATTGGTTGGTAGGCAGGCGGGCGGGCAGGTAGAAGGATAGTTTTTGAGATGTTGATTAGCGATTTGACGATTAGATCAAGGGGAATAAGAATAAAGAGCCTCTGTGAGTGAGGCCAGACAATGGGATAAGAATAAGTCGAAATGTAACCTTTTTTGGGAGGTTCTAAAGAGGTAGGCTTTTATCCATAAATGGCTTTAAATATTTTTCAGTCTAAACCTCATGATCAGGTGGACAATTGCCACCAGTCAGCTGGTCACTCCCGCGGCTGCTAGGCCCAAATTGGAGGCTTGACCGGCCGACATTTGCTGGCCGGCCCCAGTGCCGAGCAGGCTGAAGCATTCCAGATGGTAGTTGGCATCGCCGGCCACGACTCTGCGAGCCTCCTGGCTTCCGGCCTCTGGGGCAATCGGCCGGCCGCACTGGGCGCAACGAGGCGCATAGCGACGATGGAAATCGGCGAGACAGTGCGGCCGACCGTGGACATCAACGGTGAAGGGTCGGGCGTCGAGGCGGAGTCCGCAGACGGTGCAGACGAAGCAGCCCGGATGGTAGGGCAGGCCGAGGGCTCGCACCACACGGTCGCCAATCGGCCTCCGGCAGTTGGAGCAGGCCTCGACAGCCCCATCGCGAACACATGCCGGACACAGCAGACGTCGGAGGCTGTGGTAGTAGGCGTCGAGCCGGAGAGGCGCCGAGCACCGGTAGCAAGTGAAGCAGGCGACATGCAGACGGACGGCGAGGGCGCCGGTCAACTGGATGACATTGGCGCTGGCCGACGCCGGGCCGGCGAGGCCAGTGGTCGGGGAAAGGGTGCTGCCCTCGGGCGGAAGAAGCGGCCGTCGGCATCGGAAGCAAGCGTTGCCGGAGGCCTTCTCGCCGCACCCGACCGTTGGAGTGTTGGGCGTCGACGAAGCGGCGCCCAGGCTCGACGCTCCAGGACTGGGCGGCGAAGCGGCCGGGTTCAGCTCGGACGTCGGCAAGCCTGAACCCGCCAATCCGGCCAGTCCACTTGACACCGAGCCGGTGGGCGAAGCGGTGGCGGGACTGCCGCCGGCCGTGTTTGTCGTCGTCAAGGGGCTGCCGCATCCCGGGCTGCAGCCATTTACGCTTGAGCCGGAATGCGATTGTTGTTGCTGCTGCTGCTGTTGTTGTTGTTGTTGTTGTTGAAGCCGTCCGATCAAACGATTGCCGATTTGCTGTTGTTGTTGTTGCTGCTGCTGCTGCTGCTGCGATTGCGGCGGATGCGAGTGTAGACCTTGCGATGTCGATGAGCTACCGTTGATGCTGCATCCGGTGGCATCGTTGTTACCACCGTTGTTATTGCTTCCGCTGGTGGCTGGGGGCGTGTTGGAGGCACTGGGACCATTTCCTGTGCCATTGGAGAGGAGGCTGTTCCCGAGTCCACTACTTGTCGACACGCCGCGCTTGAGACTACCAGCTGCAGTTGTTAGCGGTTATTGGGCGGGGTGAGAAGAAAAACGGTCGCAAAAGAGGTTCGCCAAGAAATGGTCAGAAATATGAATAGGCTCGCCCGACACAAGTCAACTAAACAAAAGAGCCGTCTGAGATAGAATAGCTTGGACCTAAAATGGACATTCCAGAGAGTAGGGTTCTATAAAGAGTTAAGGAGACTTGAATGAAACATGAAATAATCCTGGATGCAGAGGGCATCTGCAAATTCTTATAAAATGGGCTTAGAGACTATCAGTAGTTCTTAATAGGAATTTAATCGCTATAGGTAACTTAAGGTGATTTTAAATGGGCTTATAGTTGAGCTTCCCCACAATGAGATAAATTGGCCCAAGGATGCTGCTGAAGTTAACTTAGCCTTGCCTCGCAAAAGATTCAATTCAATTTAATAGTATCATGAGGCCTACTCATCTCATTGTGGGAAATATCAACTATCAGACCTTAAGTCTCCTTAAGCTATATAGGGCAAATTAGCTATTAGTTAAAGCATGAAAGCTGGCACCCAATGAGAGAAGATGACAAAATCCCAGCATATTGGCAGAGTAAAGTCAAGATCCATAGTCGCTTCCTGTCTTATGAGCCGAATAACAAGTGAGATTCTAAGATCACCTGACCATGCAGACCTTGATCCGATTTGATTTTTCATAACGGTATCCTGTTCCCAAATAGAGAACAAGTTAGGCGAAAATTCTCAATAAATAAATAAATGCTTTCTTCCAAAGAAGCCCTTAGGGATTTCATTTAATTGAACTCTTCATTATGCTTAAAAAGATAGGTGGAAAGGATTCGCAAGGTGACATAATCAGATACGAAAGGAGGGTTGCTTTGCGCAAAAGACTTGTACGCACAAATCAAAAATTCTTTGGTATCGAATGAAACGAATGTAAGCATCCCTCCCGTCAAACTTGTAATACAAATTGCTAAGAGAGGTCTTCCATATTCACATTAACGATGAAACACCTCTGACTGAAGAAGAACCAGTGTTCATTCGAAAGCAGCACAAAGAATGGACCTAAAGTGGTAATACATTAGTATATCCTAAGGCCAATCCTATGAGTGTATGATGAGGTATTGGGCTTGTGTTGGATTACCGAAGAAAGCTAAGCTGATAAGATACGTTCTGATCTCCCCAAACATAATCTGCCTCGCAATATGACTATAGATGAGCTACCAGTTTGTAAATCAATAAATCATATAAACTTCCCCATGCCAGTAAACCCCATGTAAATAAAAAGCATTATTGGCTAG